GATTTGTAAGGTAGAATTGGGATCATGATAGTGGGGGGGAGGAAGCATTTAGGAACTAGAGGAAAGTTGTTTCATCGTTGCTACATTGGACACTGACTGGCTCATCTCCTCCCCAAGACTCTTCTGTAAGGGGACGTCCAGTGGCCTACAAATGGGCTTTGGGTCTCCACTTCGCACTCCCCTACTCATTCACTATGATATAATTTTTTGTTCTGATGATGCCTGGTACTTGATCCCTTCAACACCTCGTGATCAAACAGGCTGGTATGCTTCTTCCATGTGAGCTTTGTTGCTTCTGAGCTAGATGGCCGCTTGTTTACCTTCAAGCCTTTATTTAAGACCCCAGATGCTATCTCTTTTGATAACCAGGCATCATCAGCTTTCTTCACCACATTTGCTTATGCCCCCATTTGTCTTCAGTGATTGTATCCGGGAGGTGAGCACACAAGGATATGGTTTTTGTTCTTTGATCCCTGATAAATGATCCCTTCGGCACCTCATGATCACTCAGGTTGGTTTGCTTCTTCCATGTGGGCTTTGTTGCTTCTGAGCTAGATGGCAGCTTGTTTACCTTCAAGCCTATATGACCCCAGCCACTATATCTTTTGATAGCCAGGAACCATTAGCTTTCTTCACCACATTTGTTTATTCACCCGCTGTCTTCAGTGATTGTGTCAGGAAGGTGAGCATTATAGAATGCCAGTTTAATAGAACAAAATATTCTTGCATTGACGGAGTACTTGAGTGGAGACCCATTGTCCATCTCCTACCTTAGTACTAAACCTATAAATATATGCACGCGGATTATTTCCCCATCCTCATATATAAATATATTTGCTTATGTACATGCCTTTATTTAGACTTCTATAAATGCCCTTTGCCTCCTAGCTTTTCCCTCTATTTCCTTTTACTTTCCCTTGTCCCACTATTATGTTCAGCCTTCATCTGGGTTTCAGTAATTCTTCTCGATTACATTTAAAGTAGAATATTTTGTTTTCCTGTAAGAACAAAATATATTGCCCTCTTTATAGTTTATTAGGCTCTTTATTCTTTTCTTCTATAAGTACTTGACTCTTGGAATACCTCTACATATATAAAACTATACCAGAAAAGTCATCGCTGATATAATTTCCTTTACAGCTCTCGTAGGTATTTGTTTTCTATAGCTGCTATAACAAATTCCTACAAAGTGGGTAACTTCAAACAGCAGAGATTTACATTATCGTTGTTCTGGAAGCCGGAATTCCTCATCTGGGACATACCCTCTCCGAGTCTTTAGGAAATACTCTTCCTGTATCTTCCAGCTTTTGATCCCCATCTTGGTCTTCATGTAGCCATTTTCCTTCTGCGTCTCTTTTCCTCGTAAGGACACCAGTCATAATGGATTGGGTCTACTCGACTCCGATATGACTCCGTATTAACTTAATTACATCTGCAAAGATGCTGCTTTCTAACAAGGTCACATTCACAGACCCTAGAAGTTAAGACTTGAGCCTACCTTTTCAGAGGGCCCAAATGAACCCATAATCAAGGCTTCAAATTCATTTCATTCCTGTTACACCTCCTGCTGAGAATTTACTTTTTGTTCCATCTCAGATTTACTGAATCATAATCTGTATTTTAATAAGACTCAGCAAGCAGGGCCTTGACCTGGAAAGAATTAGTTCAGTGCCCTCCCTGTAACAAATAACTCTCTGGTTTTCTTAATAGAACTCCTCATAGCTGATTGGGAGAGTGGGGTTCCCTGGGCCAGCTACCTCAGGCTGGAATCAGGAAGAGAATTGACTGACAGTGTCTCTGTCCTCTTTCCCCAGAGGAGGAAGCTTGATGCTGTATATTACTATATGCGCAGTTTAGCTGCCAGCAACCCCATCCTGACGGCCAAGGAGAGTCTGATGAGTTTGTTTGAAGAGACCAAACGAAAGGTGAGTAGGGGGTGCAGTCAGGAACTTTCCTTCTTTGTAGAATGTATTCCTTTTAATGCTTCTCTGTCCTCAAAGGAATGGCTAATGAAAGACCTGTTGATGGGGGATCAGTCCTTGTGCAGAACCACACTGTGATCTTCAGGAAAACTTTTATGGGCTTTTGGGTGTACATGTTCTACAACGTTTAGTTTGCTCGAGCTCCAGAATTAGTAACTTCAGTGAGACAAAGAAGATGCTAACTCTCTACATTGAAACTATGATAAAATCTTTACCTTTCATAGTCCTTAGACACCAAACACAAGTGAGGCTCATTTCTTCATTAATTGACTCTTAGGTAGCATCTGAGTTTGTGTATTTGCATATCATATAGGCAGAACAGATGGAAAAGAAGCAACACGAAGAATTGGAACTGAACTCTGACCAATGGCGGAAAGGAAAGAAGTCTACTTTCCGGCATGTTGGAGATGACACCACTCGCCTAGAGATTTGGATTCATCCATCCCATCCCCGGTCCTCGCAGGGTACTGAATCTGGGAAGGATTCCGAGCAGGAAAATGGACTAGGCAGCCTGAGTCCCAGTGATGTGAGTACCTGTGGGTGATAATGAGCCAACCTAGCCAAGGAAGTACGGGTGCCCCAGTTGATGTAACCGTGAGGTATTCCATAGCATTTCCCCTAAACTACCAGGAAGAAAAGCCACTCTAGGCTTCCTGATGCCCTTAACCATCTCCCTCACCTAAACTTGCCTTGTCTTTATTTTGCTCTTTCCTCTTCCACCACTGTGTGGCACTGTAGAATTTAATAAAAGTAGTTCTCTAGGTGAAGATTGATTTAGTCTAGTGTTAGAATTTTTTGATGATTTGGTTTAAGATTTGGTAATATGCTTTAGGAGTAAGTGTCAGATCCTGTAAAAGGAAGCTTCAAAAAATTCTTGGAAAAATGGAATTGAAACATACTGGTATTTTTCTACGAACCTTTTGAAGCTCCCTTGTATTTTTTCCTTTGGGTTGGCCGTCTATTTAGAGCAGGTGCTAAAGTAACTTGGGTAGGTTGGTTAGTCTGGCTTGTTATCAGCCATTTATGGGATAGTTTCTCATGGCTCTTAGGCTGAGGCTTTTACCTAGGGTTAAGGAAATAACAGTGGAATATCACAGACTCATTTGCAAGATTTTCTTTTATTTTGCTCAAAGAATCATTAGTGAGTGCTTACAGTATACTGGGCACTGAGAATACAGTGAACAAAATTGTACTTGTTCTCAAGGAACATTGCCCTTGATCAAGCCCTACTGGTTCTGTGTATCTTTAGAGTGAAATTTCTAGAGTAGGTAAACTAGCTACCGTATATACTTGAGTATAAGTCGACCTGAATATCAGCTGAGGTATCTAATTTTACCACAAAAACTGCATTAAAAATGTGCTGGAAAAACTCAGCTTTGAGGCATCTAATTTTACTAGAAAAACAGCATTAAAAATGTGCTGAAAAAACTCGGCTTTGAGGCATCTAATTTTACTACAGAAACAGCATTAAAAATGTGCTGAAAAAACTCAGCTTATACACGAGTATATACAGGGTCATGCTATAAATTATTTGACCATTGTACTGAAGGTAATAAGAATGATTTTAAATTAGGGAATAGTTTGTTATAGCTGCATTTTAGCAAGATTGCTCTGGCTGAGTTCTGAAAATTTTTATTGGAGACAACTAGAAATGAATCCAAGAGAGTGCTACAGTTATTCAAGTAAGGTATTAAAGGGGCCTGAAGCAAAAAAAGTACTTTGGAGATTGGGAGAAATGACCGTTTATGAGCTTTATTAATAAACGGGAACCCACAGGACTTGGTTGGACATGGTGAGTTGAGGGAGGAGTTAAGAGTAATACTAAAAAAATAAAATAACACTTAAACTTCTTAGATTATGCAAATGATGACCCACCCCCTGATATAGAGAATAAAGATAGCGCTTGGAGAAAGGTGATCTAATTTTGGACATGTTGAGTTTTTCCTTCCAACTGTGCATTTAAGGAGCCCTGGTGGTACAATGGTTAAGTATCCTACTGTTAACCAAAAGTTTGGCTGTTTGTATCCAACCAGTGGCTCCATGGGAAAAATACCTGGTGACATGATTCCGTAACGATTACAGGCAAGAAAACCTATGGGATGGTTCTATTCTGTAGCCCATGGGGTTGTGATGAGTCAGAGTTGACAGAACTAAACAATCATATGAGACACTGAAGTGGAGATACTCAGACTTGAAAAGATATGTGGATCTGAAGCTGAGGAGATTGGTCTAGGCTAGAGATAATCATCTTTGAAGGCAATTTGTTTATAAATGATAATGATGCCATGAAAGCTGATTAAATTACTGAAGGCAAAACAATGACAAATAAGGTGAAGTTGTAAGAAAAAAAGGAGATACACAATAGGGTGAGGTTTTTACAGAGGCAAGCAAAGGAGTAGGATCCAAACACTGGTGAGTTAATTAGCTTACAAGAGGAGGAGTTGGGAAGGCTGGTAAATTTGTGATGGTGGTAGGAGGAAGTTTTTGACGCTTTGTATTTTGTCATTGAAGTTGAAGAACATGTATGCTAAGGCCAAGTCATAGGTCATGGGAGGAGAAATTTTTTTTTTTGGTGTTTAATTTAAAATTTTCATCAGTTGTTGTATTTTCTTCTTGGTGGATAGCTGTTTTCTTGAAACTACCAACTCCCAGGGTGGTGTAGTATGTGCTTGGGACCAGGTATTTTTGTCTGTGATAACCGTATGTCTGGGTACTTTGGAGATGTTGCGTCTTGTGATAAAGTACCTCACTGCTGCCCTCGTCTAGTATGCATAGTATGCTTCCTAAACTGGATCCTCTTTGGGGCATTAGCTACATAGCCCAGTCCAAGTGGTATTTAAAAAGGAAACATTAAGATCAATTTAAGAAAACAATAAAAAAAGAAAGAAAGAAAGCATTTTGTAGTTCTGTTTACACTGCCTTCAGAATTGGGATAGTATCTCTTCTGAAGGATATAACTAGTTTATTACAAGTTTTATTTTTATTTTTCTCTTTATTTGATGTACTATATATATGTTTGTGTCCTATGTGCATCTCAGAGAAAGCATTTTCAGCATCGTTAAACTCATTCAATTTTTGTTAATAATCTTAGTTTTAATTTTGCATGCAATATAAATATGTTCTTGGTAGAAACTACAAATAATTAGACAGAAGTAGAGTAAAATGTAATTGTTTTCTAACCTATTCTTTTGAAATGTTTTATTGTGCATTAGGTAAAGGTTTACATTGTAGTTCTAAACTGTTAAAGCTTCTTATATCTTCAGCTTGTACATCGTCCTTGAGTAACTTCCCTTAATTTCTTTTCAGTTTACATCTGTGAGCTTGGTCTTTTCGTTCTAGACTGCTACCACTTGAGGAAGAAGTCTGTGCACTTTCATATCTCTTCATTTATCCAGCAGGAAACCACAGTGTCTTTTTTACCTACTTTCTCAGGCCAGTCAGCTTCCCATAGTCTTTTCTTTTCTTGCAGGAGGCCCCAAGAACTCAACTTGTTTTGACCCTTTCTTGAAACACAAGACTGTTGAGAAGTGAGGATTTATTTGACATGTGAGGGGGCTTCAAAAAAATCATGGAAAAATAACATTAAAAGATAATGGCATTTTCCCTGAGGTTTTTTGAAGCCTCTTGTTAGAATGCTTAGGCATGGGAGATACAGAGTAAAACAACTGTAAACAATTAACCTCAGAGAACTTTCTGTCATGTGGAGAAGACAGAAACATAAAGATATGATGATAATTCAGTGTCGGAAGTGCTGTGATACAGGCTTGGGGCTAGGTGGCATTTCATGCTAAGTCATAATAAAAGCTTTTCTACACTGAGGCATGAACCCTTGAAAGAGGCCTGTGAAGCCTTAGGGAATTGTGTAACTAGACACAATGAGGTATGTATAACAGGCACTCTTTGTAATACTTCCAGTATTAAAGGTACTTTTTAAAATTAAAGAATTAATACTAAATTGTACTTAAATCAATCAAGTGTACGTGAAGTTTAGTGTGGAAGTCATTTGTATTCCTACCTTCAAAGATAGCACTGTTAATGGTAGAAGTCCTTTTCCCAAAGTGGGAGGTACCACCCCCTGGGGAGGGTGTGCTGATGCTGAAGCAGATACCTATACTTTAGCCTGGATTATGGGCTATAATACAAATGCTTTAATTGTCAGGAGGTGCTGAGCTTTTTTTTTTTGAAAAGGGGTATAGTCCAAATAACTTTGGGAACATATGTTCTAGACCTGCGTAAGCATTTGTTAATGTGTATGTGTGTAACCATACTGATAGACACTTGACTATATGGAATATATTGTTGTTAGGTGTGTGGAGTTGATTTTGACTCCATAACCCCATGTAACAGAATAGAGCTCCCACATAGGGTTTTCCAGCCTATGATCTCTACCGGAATAGATCCAGTCTTTCTCCTGTGAATCTGCTAGAGGATTCCAACTGCCACCCTTTTGGACTGTATGTAACCCAGGAACTGCCTGTATGCTACTATGCAACTTGGATTTTAAATTGAATCAGTTGGACAACTGTGTTATGCAGCACACATTATTGGTAAGTGCTGTTGAATCTTGAGTGAGTTCCGACTCATAGTGGCAGAAGTGACGGAAAGAAACACTGCCTAGTCCTACACCATTCTCATAATCATTGCATTTGAACCCATAATTAGAGCCACTGTGTCACTCCATCTTGTTAAAGATGTTTTTCTTACTTATTTATTGGCTGACCACCTTCTTTACCAAGTGTGATGTTCTTCTCTAAGACTGGACCCTACTGGTAACATGTCCAGACGACATTAGGTAAATTCTCACCATTCTTGCCTTTAAGGCACAGTCTGGCTGTACTTCTTCTAAGACAGACTTGTTCGTTCTTCTGGCAGTCCATGGTATTCCTTGCCAACACCATATTGCAAAGGCATCAATTCTTCCAAAAGCCGTCATGCTATGCAAAATTGTGCTATAAAAACCCACAGGGTTTATGGAGAAAAAAAAGTCAGGCTCATAACACTAAAAAATGTACTTACTCAGTGACATTAAAAAAAAAGATAGGAATTCAGTAAAAACAATATTAGTTTTTGTGTTTTTAACATGTTAAGTGGTTAAGACATACTAAGCCAGTGGTTCTCAACCTTCCTAATGCCGCGACCCTTTAATACAGTTCCTCATGTTGTGGGGACCCCCCCTTCCCAACCATAACATTATTTTCGTTGCTACTTCTTTACTGTAATTTTGCTACTGTTATGAATTGGGTAACCCCTGAAAGGGTCATTTGACCCCCAAAGAGGTCGCGACCCACAGGTTGAGACCCGCTCTACTAAGCACTCCGATAATTATGGTACTTTATCTTTAAAAAGACCTGAAGTTTGAAAGCGTTGCAGCTGGTGAGTTAAGTGGTGGAAGGAGAATTATCACAAATCAGATGGACAGTTGGAACACCAAATATGAATCAGTATAGCTGGTATGTTCACAGGGCAAATTAAGGTAGCTGGTGGATGGCAGTGTAGTGGTTACACTTTGGGTCTTCAGGAGAAAGA